AGAAAAAGAAAAGGCAGAGCATGAAGCCCTATTGAGTTCGGAGATGAATTACTGGGGGGTCAAAACTATGCTTACAATTTACCATCTGGCCTTTCCCCAGTAAGAATGATGACTACAAAATAACAGTAATCACTCATAGGGATTATAAAACAAACAAGCCTGCAGTGTAAAACTACAACAAACAATAGACTAAGAGATACGGGAATACAAGATGTTATAAAGGACTACGGGACTAGCATATTTCGCATAAACCAAGTTAGATTCGTAACATATGAACTGAAAACAATTAATGGATCAAAAACACAAGAACTTTATTGCAGATTCAGTGCAATAGATTTTAGGCTTTTAGGTTAGCCAAATTACTTACGTTGTTATGAATCGTACAACGCTGCGTTGTGTCTACTTCTTTTACCCTCTCAGGTATTCCAAGAGCGGTAGGTGTAAGGCTGGTTTGGTGCTCGTCAAACAGTAGATTCAGGAATGCAGAAATAGATCTACTAATAATTGAAGCTATATACTTCCAGTCCGAGACATTAGTGTAGACGTTGCTGATGAACCAACGAAGTATATGACAGATCCACCCAATATTTAAGATATACATATTTTTGGACAGAGCAGTCATTGTATCAGAGCTGCCAAGGATTGGGATGAAAACAATTTAAGATAAATTTGGAAAAATTAAGAACGGACAAAACAGCGTACAAACTGTTCAACATAGAGTAATTAAAAACACTTCACTCATTTGATGTTGGTGATTTTCAAAACGCTACGCATTTAAACAGTGATTAACAAAAACAGCATTTTCTCAGTTTGTGTGACATAAGTTAAAATTTCTACTTGCCAATATCACTACTACGTGAGATGGTGGTAATCAGCAATAAATCAATACATCGAGTGCGTGAGTCTAATTCCCATCCTAAAATTTTCGAATGACACGAACTATTAACCAACATATGAAGTGACGCACCATATCCCTTAGGTGCTCAAGGTAAATGAATGACTTAAACCTTAGTGCATCTGTTGGTAGTACAACACAAAACGAACAGACAGTCGAGCCTCCCCATTAAGAGGTAACTAAGTCAACTGCCTTATTTAGCTGAATATATGCAACATAAAGACAAATGGAAACAGGTATTGTTACACCTACTTTTTCAACTCTAATTTGCTATACCGAAACGAAGTGGTTGAGCACATCAGTAACTTAGGAAGTTTAAAGAGCTTTAATGCGTAAGTCAGAGACCAATAGAATCGGTACGCATACATAAGGTTTGCATGACCAACTTACGCTATGTATGGAACCACAGTTATATCCCACTTCCCATTGATGGTCGAGTTTGTGCTGCAAGGCATTCTGGTATACTACATGGGCATGAAACGGCTATTAGATATATTTACAGGACTTTAAGTGCTCGACTAAAATTGCTTTTGTAGCATAAGTCATGTCACCATCACTAACGCAAAGTCATAGGTATGCGAGAAAAGTCGGTTGATAAAGTCGTGAGCCTCCTCACACCCAGCCGTTGTCTGCCCAGTAACTCCATGCTTGCTATAATACCTTCAGGTCAGTAAAAGGTAGCCACACTAAAACGGCACTGGTCCATGAAGTCCTCTGCCGCTGGTCTTAACCATGTAGGAGAATGCAGACTTTCCGGTCGGGGTTCATGTGAAAACCAAAACCTCTGTCCGTAACAATCCGTTTGCCACGCGTCAGCTTTACACACACTTTCAAAACAGCAACCTATGCATTATGAAAGTGAGATGAACCATGACCATGACACTACTTTAATATTTCGTACATTCCTTTCACCCCAACTTTTACAAGCAAACTGATATCTGATTATTATACTGAACTTTTGTCATTATGAGACGATGTGATTATACTCTAATAACTAAAGTTGAAGTTTCAAGAATCGAGCCCCAGACCACGTCAACGACAGTAGTTGCTCCTTGATGGCTCGTCTCTGCATTGGTTCAGATCTCATGAAAAGAGTACTTAGTGGGATTACCCCGATGAGCTAGAGTTATATTCTTGAACGGAAAACTAATTCTTTGATGAATATTAGAAATTAAAGCAGAATCTCTATCATCACGAGTATCACCTACATGTTGGGTGATAAGATACCTGTAGATGTCACTTTCATTGACTTCAGTAAGGGGTTAGACAAGGTGCCTCATTCCAGTTTGCTCGAGAAACTAGAAAGTTTTGGAATCACTGGTAGTCTGCTTGCATGGATAAGAGAGTTCCTCGTTGGTAGGAGACAAAGAGTAAGGATTAATTTTCAACTGTCCTCATGGAAGTCGGTGGAGTGCCGCAAGAAACATATCTAGGCCCCCTGTTATTTCTCTCATACATAAATGAGCTGTTGAATATCGCAAAACCATCTATGGTTCTTCACGCTGACGTAAGAATCTGGCTGGAAAAAAGGGGGACAAGGATGTACGTGCACTTCAGACATACATAAACAGCTTGTTTACTGGTCACAGAAATGGCTGATGCCTATCAATGCAGGTAAATGTGTGAGCATACACTCGGGGTGCACACACAGCAACATCTACGATATTGATAGGACTCCTTTACCTTCAGTACTGACCCACAATGACTAGGAGTCGCGGTTAGTTATGACTTGAAGACCACGGAAGACTGTCGATCCGTTGCAGCTCGGATTTTGAGGACACAATATTACGCAGATATTCTCACCATCTTATACACATCCTTAGTTAGGTCCAAACCAGAACACAGTACACAGACTCAAATCTCCTGGAAACAGTTCAAAGAGCAACTACTTGGATTATGCCTGACCTATGAAGATCTCATCATGCTATGCAGGATTCTAATAAATGACTTTGGATCTGATCCATCTTCTCTTTTTCTCCTTATCAGGTCGGGACACCTTAGATGACATAACAAGAGGGTAAAAATCCAAAGGACGAAAGTAGTCTATGAAGAGTACTGGTTCTCAAGTCGAATAATAGACTCCTGGAACCGACTCCTAGAAGAAGTGGTATCCACATCAACTGAGTTGTTCAACATAGAACATGAAGAGCACAGAGACCATCTGGAAAAAGATTTATATAGGGTCGTAGCCTTTTATGCTCAATCAAGTCTGAAACCTGATAACTACTGAGATTATGGTGTGCATGACAGAAAGTACATGGCGCTAGAATAAAACAGCGATATTGAAATAAATAAGAACTAACAGTAGTGGATATTCCATGAGTAACATACCGTTTGAAAAATTCAACCACCGCAGTCGAAATTAACGTTATGGGTAAGGAGGGACTATCAGAGAACTGATGAATCAAAAGGCACAGCATCGAGCCGATGACAGAGTTGTTGAACTGTTTAGTTCGGTACAACACCAATATATCAGATCTTAAGCAGTTGAATTTTACCAAAAACCTACCATTACGTCGATCATCATCAAGGACGATCATACACTGATAGGTTTCCGAAATAAATGTACACACTGTGTCGAAGAAAGACTGATGCAAGCAAAAAATCGTCTTGTCCTTAATCACTTGCAGAAAACCATCAACCAATTCATTCAGATCAAGAGGTTGGTTACCTGAAAGAAAATAAGTAACATTTCAAAGTTAGAACCTCTTGATCCATAGATAGCAACGAGTTGTAATATTTTTATGTACGGATCGCCATCAGTTGAAGCATTTCTGTATCTCAGGAAAGCAGGTGAACGCAGTTCAGTTATAAAAGCCTGCAAAACACTCTTAAAAGCATAATACAGTCAATCAACCACCAACTTTGAGGATGAAATTCCAGGAAACAACTGTAAACTAGGATTTCGAAATTTCTTTTCCGAAGAATTACTAATAATTTCACAGTTGGCTGGTACTTGTAACATGTTCAAAAGTTTATTCACATTATCCTTTTGAAAAAAAATATGAGGTAACTAACATACTTTTCTCTTCTGTTTATTACAAAACACAAGATTATCTACAAGTTGTCTGATTCGAAATGCATCCATCCCTCCGCGATATGCAGTTAGTACGATGCTCACATCGAACAAAATACACTCACTAGTTAAAACGTCGTCCAACATTCAACATCAAACAGCAATGACCCAACTAAGGGACACTTACAGTTTTTGAGATCTTGCATCCAGGTATTGATTTTGGGTCCAAATTTCAAAATTCATGTTGTAGGAATGGTGTACAATATTTTCTAGGGTTCCACGTCTGTTAACGGAATACGTTCTATGTTTGGAATAAGCAGTTGCTTTTCAGGATCAAGGAAACCTGAAAAAACAGAGATGATCTAGCAGGTGGTTATTATTTGCTTGATATGTATAGCAATTCTGTACAAGGTTCGTCAGAAGATGAGGGGTAGCTTATGCATAAACTCAGTCTGTACCAACGGACTCATCATATGAACAAAAGCTGCTTTCGAAAACACCAGCAAAGAGATCTATAACATCCTCGGAAGAAAAACTTCATATCCCACACAGTTTACCGCTAATGAGATGGCGTAAATCATTGAATGTGTCGCCTCTTGCTGCAATCTAAAAGGACCACCTCAAAGGCGGTGATTCTAATTAAAGATTAGGAATGACAGGATAAAATGAGGACTACCGGGAATGTGATGCACCATGATCATAACCCTAAGATCCTCCTGTACTTTACATTTTACTTCACCATAACAACTAAACATTACAGATTAGTCTTACGCTGCGGCCCAATTACATTCCTTGTGGCGAATCTCCGCACGCCATCTAAGGTGGCGAAAATCTCCAAGTATGCAGTATTACCTGTGAAATTTTTCACGATAAGATGGGGAACAAGTAATTCGTACACCTCACTGAAAACACTAGGAGTGAAACACAACAGAAATACTAAGATTCCTAGCGTCAAACTCTTCCCTGAAATCAATGGCCCAGGGTTCGACGACTTTCGACAGTCATGCTGACCTTGATGGTTTAACTGGACTCGCTAAGCTGAGGGCACCCGGTCAAGCATCCTCGCCATTTAGCACGCTGTCGTGTTACGTTGCACTGCTCGTATTCGACTCTGTAGCCGGTTAGTTGGAACGCATCGGTATCTTGGCACAACCATCCAAATATACTATTCCATCCGACTACGCTATCGTGTCCTTCCTTGGTCTCGTACTCGTGTGTACGTAGTAAGTCCGAATAATTGGTGGTTGGTCTTCGCGTCTGTCAAGTTCGCAACAGGACAAATCCTAAATTGGTGAGACCGACGAGATCAAATATCCTAACGTGATCAAATGTACCGACGTGATCACATATCCCGACCAATAACAGATACTGAATTGGTGAGACTGTTCCATTTTATATTTGTATATTGCTTTCATTTCGATAACATTTATATACACATTTACCACACATTCTCATGTCCGACCACACTCCCAAGCTTATACGTATCAACCCGACTACGAACACGATCCAACTCGTGCCATATTGGCCAGACAATGCGGAAACATGGTTTCTGTATGCCGAGGCAGATCTTCGAAAACCGAGCGTCTCAGATCCTCATTCTCGATTTCTTGCCGTCACACGTTCGCTACCGCGGGAATTAAACAGACATATTACGGCACACATGTTTATCCCTGAAGTAAGTGATCCTTGTGCACTTCTCAAGGCCGCACCCTTGAAGGAACGCGACCTCACAGATCGCCAGCGCCCAGACGAATTACTTCGTAACACCGAGCTAGGCAGCTACTGAAGTTCTCGCACGCATGCGAGAAGTAATCGGCGCACGAACATTCGACGATGGCCTTTTCCGAGAACTATTTCTCTCAAAACTACCACAACCGGTGCAAACCGTGTTGGTGACACTGCAGTCAGTCCCACTCGATGACCTGGCAGCCTCGGCAGATAAAATACTGGGGGTTTCTAGCAGACCCGTCTCCAACGTATATTCTGTCTGTGACAAACCAGAGAGCCAGGATTCAGAGGTGACCAAGCTGTGCAACTCTGTGAAACAGTTGCTACGATCTCGAAGTCCTAGTTCACGTAGAACTCCACAGAAACGCGTCTTAGCGCATCACAGCAACTCGCGTGGTTGCCCCAAAACTAAACCTAACAGGGTGGAAAACCCTGAATGGTGCTGGTTTCATAACACTTACGGAGACGAAGCCAGAAAATGTCGGAAACCATGCAGTTTTAACAAGGACACAAACTCGGGAAACGGTCACGCCGGCACGTGTTCACGGCAACCGTAGCCGGCGGAAACAGCCGTTTGCTCTACGTCACGGATATTAAAACGAAAGTTCGCCACCTCGTCGACACCGGCGCAGAAGTTAGCGTTCTTCCCGCACCGACAAAGGAGCGTCATCACGACCCATCCTTCAATCTTCAAGCAGCCAACGGCAAGGCAATCGCGACATTCGGGAGACGGTATGCCTACCTCAACTTAGGTTTACGTAAACCTATCCACTGGATTTCCTCCTGGCTGACGTCTCTATGCCCATCATTGGCATAGATTTGCTAAACCATTACGATCTACTCGTAGATGCTCGCCGTCGACGACTGATAGATAACAACACAAAGTTATCTATTGGCGGCACCACCTATGTAGGTCCGAGTTTAGCCCTCGTTAGAACCAAACAATCAGGCGACGCGTCCTACCAAGCAGTTTTGGAGAAATATCCAGAGTTGCAACAACCGAAGCACACTCTTCCGTGCATAACCAGCAATGTTATGCATCACGTCACAACCACATGTCCACCTGTGGCATCCAAAGCTCGCCGTTTAGCCCCCGATAAGCTCAAAACGGCGAAAAGCGAATTCGACCACATGCTCGAACTGGGCATTATCAAACCGTCAAACAGTCCTTGGGCATCACCACTGCACATGGTTCCCAAAAAGGATAGCAACGACTGGCATCCAACCGGTGATTACCGAAGGCTTAACGCCAAAACAACTCCGGACTGCTACCCGATACCTCACGTTTACGATTTGACTGCAACCTTATGCGGAATGAACATTTTCTCCAAAATCGACTTGGTCAAAGCGTACAACCAGATACCTATGGCAGCAGAAGATATCGCGAAAACAGCCATTATTACTCCTTTTGGCCTGTTTGAATTCCTGCGCATGCCATTTGGTCTTCGGAATGCAGCACAAACATTCCAACGCTTTATGGATGATGTCTTCCGTGGTTTGAATTTTGTTCATGTCTACATCGATGACTGTCTAATTGCGAGTCCAGATAAGGAAACTCACCTTAAACATTTGGACCTCGCATTCGAAAGACTTAAAAAACATGGCATCACAGTCAACTTACAGAAGTGTGAAATAGGAGTTGAATCACTCAGCTTCCTTGGGCATACCATTGACAACAAAGGTATACGCCCATTGAGAGATAAAGTGGCGGCTATCACAAACTATCCAGAGCCGACCACTGTGAAACATCTCCGCACTTTCAATGGCCTGGTAAGTTATTACCGAAGGTTTATCCCCAACTGTGCCTCTGTCATGAGACCACTAACAGATCTACTTCGAGGAACTACGAAGTTCGTGACTCTGGACAACGAGGCTAGACTTGCTTTCTCTAGAGTCAAGGAAGCCATTTCAAACGCAACCATGCTTATGCATCACGACCCCAATGCTCCTTTGAGTATTGCTGTTGATGCATCTGATTCAGCAATTGGAGCAGTTTTGCAACAATTGACTGACAACCAGTGGCAACCGTTAGCCTTTTTCTCGAGGCGGCTGCAAGACGTGGAAACAAGATACAGTACATTTGGTAGGGAACTCCTAGCCATGTACTGTTCTGTACGCCACTTTCGACATTCGGTGGAAGGTCGTGATTTCATTATTTTCACAGACCACAAACCGTTAACCTTTTCCCTCAGCTCGGCGTCTGACAAATACTCCCCGCGTGAGTCGCGACAGCTGGATTACATTTCCCAGTTCACGTCAGACATCCGCCACATTTCTGGAGCAAATAACTCCGTAGCCGATGCACTATCACGAATAGCTTCGATAAATCATATCGAGGGCGTTGATCTCGTTGAACTAGCTCGGCGTCAAAAGGAAGACCTTGAGCTGCATCATGAGTTGTCGTCCACAACTCTCAAGCTGCGACTTTGTCCGGTTGGATCAGACAAGGATACAATTTTGTGCGATGTCTCTGCTAGTCAACCACGCCCAATAGTTCCGAAGAGTTGTCGACGCAACGTCTTCAATACGTTGCACAAACTCTCTCATCCAGGTGTACGAGCCACCATTAGGCTTATCGCACAACGTTTCTGCTGGCCTGGGATGAACAAAGACGTTAAGGAGTGGGCTCAGTCGTGCTTAGCTTGTCAAAAGTGCAAAGTCACGCGACACACGAAAAGCCCTTTAGGCTCATTTCTAGCCCCAGACATGCGTTTCGACCACGTCCATATAGATATTGTAGGACCCCTACCAGAATCTAATGGATGTACTTACCTTTTCACTTGTGTTGATCGTTTCACACGATGGCCGGAAGCAGTACCTATTAAGGATATTACTGCTGAAACAGTAGCTCGTGTTTTCGTAGAAAGATGGATCGCGAACTTCGGATGTCCATCTTACGTCACAACCGACCGTGGGCGCCAATTTGA